AAGATGAAAGGTTCTGAGTGATGAAATATCTAACTCCAAATGACTTTAGAATTGCATAGTATTTAAATTAATAAAATTTTACTTAAACTTAATTTAAATAAATATTACTGTATAGAATGTTATAATAATTACTTTCATCTTAAATCATATACATACATATTTAATTACAATATAACATGATGTTATACTTATCCTAATTTGCTCTTTAAAAATATTGAATTACTTTTTAATTTAACCTACATTTTATATATACATATTTACTTTTTTGCTTGAACGGAATAAATTTCAATTTGTTCCACTTAAAAACTTCCGACATCTTTCGACAAAATACACAGACCGACAAATTACTCATAATAATTTATATTTCCTTTTTTTTTTCTTTTAATATAAAATATCTTCAATATCAGAAATTTATCCAGTATTCAACATTAATTATAATGACCTTGATTCTTTTCCATTATTCACAAAAAAAATTTTATATCTTATACTACAAGTGCATCCTTTTCCAATAAAATCTAATAAAATACATACAGCTATACAAAAATATAAATGTATACTTACGCATATTAATATATGTATGTAAGAGAATATAAAAAAATTGAAATTTTTTGGGCTTTTATTTGTCGAAATCAAGTTGTTTTAAACCTAAAAGAAAAAAAAATATATACAAAAGAAATGGACATTTTTTCCACTTTGTAACAAGGATATAAATCTCTTTTATTTTCTTTTACTTTTTGTTATTATATTCTTCTTCAACAACATAATGTAAAAAAAACAACAATAGAAAACACAAAAAAAAATAATGTTAAATTTTAGTGTTGATGCCTCTGGTACGTTTACACAGACTATAATCAGGCCAGACTATCACATTGTTACAATGTAGACTTTAATTATGTTTTATACGAGTATGAAAAAAAGCATATAAATATATATAGAGACAAATAATATATAACTATTGTCATTTAAAATATTAATAGTAAGAGTCAAGCAAGTTCATTTTAACTCATTCCTAAAAATGGTGGAATATATTTATATGTATACGTATGTTAAATATATAGAACATAATGAGTATTATTCTGTGAAGGATATTAAAACTTTAACTTATGAAAAAAAAATACACAAAAATTGAAAATGATAATAAGAAGTAATGAATGTTAAAAATGATTTTAAGTTTAATTATGGTTACATAAACGCAATAAAGTGGTTAATATATAAATACAATAAAATCTTCATGAATATACCTACATAAATGTTAATAATATTTTTTAATAGAAAGCTCGACTTATTTTTCAAACAATAGCGTATTTGGTCTGAGCGCCCTTTTATATTTAAATATCACAAAACCCATATTATATTATTTTGGAACATTGCGCCTTAAACACAATACAATTTTATTATAAATTAAAAAGTAATTTCGTTATAAAACGTCTGTAATAAACAAAAGAAAAATCCATCTAAATGGTAGGTTTATGTATAAAGAGATAGTAAAAAATATAATATTTGTGTTCTATAAGGACGATTATCTAGCTGTTTTGTATAAAAGATTAATTTTGCAAGCGTTTTCAGAATTTAATGCTATCCATTTCAAATGGAGATTCTCTTACTGAAAAGTTAATCAATTTATTTAATTTTCGAAATAAATTCAAATATAAATTTTAATAAAAACGCTTTAGCCAAAGCATAAAATCTCAAGGTCACAAATAGACAACTGAAATCTCCCCATAACAAATAAGTATATACTTTTATATTGCTGACTGCTGTCATATTGCTCCCCTTCTTATTGTATATGCAATGCAATAATCATGCATACGAGTATTGATAGCTATTTATTATTTTGCATAAAATATCAATTTCAAATTTGGAGTATTTTTGTTTATCTACATATAGGGCACCCGAGACTTCACTGTACTACTGAAGCAGAGTGATAGAATGCTTCCCCCGAAAAAAAATCACTTAGTGATTTTATAACGACTTACATTTGGAATTTCTGAAAACCTTCTAATTTTTGCAATTTAATTCGGGAAATATTACAGGTAAAGACAACTTTGTTTACACACTTTGAAGCTTATGAAACTCCCCTTCTTAGGTATTTCAAATAAAAAAATATTTATTTTAAAAACAACAAATTAGAGTTTAAATGCTTTATATAGATACGAGTAGATAATCAAATGTTTATATAGATAAATAATTAAACAAATTTTCCAAACAAAAAGTTTTATATTTTATCAATAATTTAATTAGCATTTATCCTTAAGTTTTCAATTTTTAACTTTTTTCTTTTCTCTCTGCTTCTTCCAGTTTTGTTACAATTCTTTCAATTAGTAACGTTAGCATATTAATTGACTTATAATCAATATCAAATATTTATTTTAACACTATAGAAAATTTACTTTTTACAATATTCTCATCACTAGATTCAGATGTTACATTTAGATAATAAGAAAATAATTACTTTATTAGTTAATTATAATGGTCTATATAAATGATATCAATTAAATATTTGGCCAAAAAGTCATTCCATTAAAATGTTATAGTCAAAACATTTTAATTGTCTGTAATTATGAAACTTTTCAAATTAAATGAATATGTATTATGTTATAGCAATGAACACAATAAAAAGTAACATATATAGTAGAAAACACATGTAAAAAATTTTATAAGGTAAATTAATTCATGACTACTTAATTGAAAAAAGTTATAAAATTGTTTTAATTTGCAATTGATCAAATGTTTAGAAGACAATTTAATTAAATCATGAGCAATTTTGATTCTTATCTAGATTTTTTTTCAAATCATTGAATAACTTAACTTTTGAATACTATCAAAATGAAAACTCGAAGAATTTAATTTAAAAATTTAATAAAAGATAATAATAGATATTAGTATACCCTTCTTCTATACTTCATTTTAGACATCCAATATCCTAGATCTAACCTAGATAAATTTCTAAATTTCAGCCATATTTTATCTTATTATAGAATAAGGAATATGTTCATTGTTAAATCGTGTACCAATTTAATATAACACCTTTCATAACCAAAAATTTAAAAAACTAAATCCATAACATACTTCGCTGCTAATAAAATTTTTTAATTTGGTATTTCATTCAAAATTTTTAATACGAAATATTTAAATTTTAATTATATACCAAAAACACTGGAATAAGAAAAATTATTCTTTGCTTCAAATTTTCTTCCTATCTTCCTAAGAGTAAATAAAAAATGAGTTATGTGGAATTTACTTAATTTAAAAGTCCTTTTGAAAAATTAAATGAGAAATCAAAGTGTTTATTATGTAAAAATACCATTGTAATTATGTCTGTGTCAAAAAATTTATTGTGAAAATGAAATTTCCTTTATTTTCTCATCTCATTTAATTTTTAATTTTACGATTTAATTTATTTATCTTACTTACCATTTTACCATCTTTTTTAAAATATTTTATATCAAAAAGAAAGTTATTTGGGGAACATATTTTTTTCACGTGTATAATTTCTCAAAAAAAGATTTTCGCTTATATCCTAAAATAATTAATTCTTATGAAGCCGTTTATTATTGTTAAAATTGCATACGAAATAAAAAGTCTCTGTAATACATGTTAAGCTTGTTTACTAATTGTTAAATGTGGAATTTTTTTTTTATTCAATAGAAACGTTAGAATGAAATAATATAAAATTTATACGAATTCTTCTATTAACTATAAATTCAAAATTAAAAATTGTTTTAATTAATAACGCATGACCAAAAAGAAAAGCACAAGTTTTCTGTATAAGCATTGTACTTTATAAATGGAAATAAAAATCGACTAATATTCTAATTTTTGCCTGTTTGAAATGTAAAGTTATTAAACATTTAAAAAATCAATTTGAATCCTACCAGAATATTCTCTTGCCAAAACGAAGTATGTATAAGATTTTTTTATTTTTTAAACCTATTTAATTTATCCAATTTAATAATATTTATTAAAAATACTGTAAGAAAAATTTAGAAATATAAAATTAATAAACCCCCGATTATTTTCTTCAAGTTTTTGGTTTGCCTGACTTCAAAATTTTGCTTTTGCAATTTTGTCTTTTTATACTATTTAAGTTTTTATGAGATATTTTAAATAGCAAATAAATCTTTTTCAAGGTCTTTTGTCAAATTAAAATTGTAAAAATTAATTTTTTTATATTATCATTGAATTTATTCGAATATGCGCTATTTACATGCTTTAATTTTAACACTCTTTTTGATCAAAAAAAATCTTTATATATAGTTATTAGCATTTTGTGACTTGATCAAGCAAATGATATGATGAATTCGTCCTCGTTTTCCTGTTTTGTCCTAAGCATTTCGGCGCTTTAACATATTCTCAAACTTGCTTTTACTCGCAGATGAAAAATGTTCTTGTACTTTAAGGAATAATTAAAAAAGTAAATAGTAAAAATAGTAAATTCTAACCACTGAAATAAACGTATTTTTTGTAAAGAAAAAATGAAAAAAAAAAATACTTTATCTATATTTCAGAAAGTATATAACGATTTTAAATTTTACAAAATCAAAAACTTAATTAAGTTTCACATTACTAAATTTATCATAATCTACTTATTTAATTCATTTTTAATTTTAATTTAATTAAATTCTAAATTACATTACTGTTTATATTTCATTAATAGATATTATTTTTTTTCTATAATTATAACTCAAGTATTGATATTTTTGCACATTTCTTATTTAAATTCTAGCGTTTTTTTTTTGTTTTTTATATTTGAATTTTAACAAAGTTTTAATTTTTTTTTATTTGTTAAAAGTTTGATTGCATAAATTATAAATTAACAGGTTTTTGAATTATCGTACTTTATCACAGGATCATCCAAAAATAAAAATATTTCATAGTTATTTGTTTTCTTTTTATTTTTTAATACCATAGTTCAAATGATAAACATTGCACATCTACTTGGCAGATAGAAATTTTAAAATATAGAAATTTTCCTAAAATCTTAATATTTCTTTTTTTTTTTCCTAATTTTGTTTTAATTTAAAAAAAAAACTTAAAAATGTAATTCATGTATAACTTATACATAAATAATTTATATTATTTTAATACATTGATTTGCGAGCCAAATTTTCCAAAATAAACATTATTTTACAAATTAAATGTATAATGATTAATAAAATCCAATTATATTAATAGGGTAAATATACAGTAAATGTTTTGTTTAAAGTCAGTTCATTTGCATTTAAATTGCATAATAGAACCAGACGAAATGGCTAAGAGGACTAGTTGATTTTATTTTTGATATTATTTTTATTTTTCCCAAATTAAATTCTAAAAATAAAAAAATTATATTTAATATTTTTATATTTTTAAACTTTAAATTATATATTTACCTTTTTCTTAAAGTGCTTTTACTATATTTTGCTGAAGGTTTATGTTCACGTCCTCTCTGCGATCTGAAAAATAAAAAAAATAGTTAATTTTCTTTAAAAAATATTTTAATAAATAAATTTGTCAAAGATCTGAAATACAGCTTTTGGCATTTTAAATATTAATTAATTGCTACTATGAATAAACAGATGGTATTCAATCATCTCAATGATGAAATTTAATCTCAATGATGAATATACTTTTTAGAGTAAATTTTATTTAGCACGAAAATTCATTAATAGTTCTCGGTAATTTCTATTATGTATTAGTGCAAACTACATTTCACAATCAAATGTACTAGGATATGTTCTCCTAATTTTGAGGTGTCAAAAGAAGGTTAATAACATTAATTAATAAACGAAACTCTGTAACAAGTTAGCAAAAGATGTTGTCTAATCCAGTAACTGAAAGTCTTATGATATTATATCCTAAAATTTAAGTCAAATATAATGTAAATTGAATTTACATTATTCAGCTATAATGTGAATCGAAGCTATTAAATTGTAAATTTTATTTAAATCGCAATGAAACTGCAACTATATAAGAAAAAGTTTTATTGCAAATAAACTAAAAGTAAATTTAAGAATTCCTATAAAATCAAAGTGGAAACTTTCAAAGAAAAGAAATTTTTAAAAGAAACACGAGCTTTGAAAATGATTACACTCATTTTTATATTGAATCCTTGAATCTCATATTAAAATAATTAAGTATTATTATAATAAATTTTTGTTATAGTTTAATTTTTCTAAATATGTATATATTTTTTGCTTGCGTTAATAATTGAACATAATTTCTGAATTTTTTCAATGTATCTTAATTAAATTTAAATATCTTAATATAAGAAATCGTCTTCTCGTAAGGTAAATATTTTTGCATAAATAGCTACTTATTAGTTATTTTTGTAGTATTAAACATTTAATCTAACGAAAAATATAGTATTCTAAGTTCAAGTATAAGAAACTATTGCAAGAGCGATTGATTTTTTTTTCGAAAAAAACAAAGATTGGAAATCTAAATTTTCAAATAATTCCTTAACCTTTACCTTTGTTATTTTAAACCCCTAAAATTCATTTAGCAATAAATTGTATCAAAATATAAGCTATAAGCACGATTTATAAAAGCCTAAATACTTAAAAATTTATACTTTTCTTAGCATTTTGCTTAAATTATCATTATTTATTTATACAATTTAAATTATTTTTTTTTTTGTCCCTAACTGTTATGGCACTGAACTAAATTAATTGTTAACCTTCTCTAATTTACTTGCAACGATTTTTTTTTTTTTGTAATTTTAATATAATTTAATATCTTGAACGCTTAAAAGCCTTAAACTTACATGTTGCTATTTCTAGTTTGCATTTTTTTAACTTCTTCCTGATGTCTTGTTTTAGTACGTGTTCCTACTGAAGTTTCTTTAGGACTCACACTACTTTTAGTTTCCTTTAAATCTTTAGATTTTTTGTTTGTGGCTGTAACGAGTGGCATTTCTCTTTTATGTCTAGTTGTTCGTCGGGGTGTTTCTCTAAAAAATTTACAAAAAATAATAAAAATAATGCGTATTCATGTATATTTCCATAACAAACTTACTTATCGTCGACAGTGGGTTTTTCTAAATTCGATTTATTATTTTTAACAACTGCACTAGTTCTGCCCTTTTTCTCTTTTTCTGGTAATATCTCCTGTTGATCAACACATTCACTTTTAATATTTTTCGCTGTCTTTAGAATGTCTGATGCACTTTGACCTTCCTGATCAGATTCATTTTCTTCTTTTACAGTTGTTTTAATAACTGATAATTTTTCAAAATCAACCTTATGGTCAAGTTTTACTTCAGTATCTTCTTTTTGTTGAGACTCTTGTTTATTTTCAAGTAGTGTCTCTTTAGATTTAGACTCTTTTGAATATATTTCAGCACCTTTAGTGTTTTCAGTCTTTGGTTCTTCGTCTTTACTTTTTTCTTCGTAGTTCTCGTCTATAACTAAACCATTTTCCGATTCATCGTCAGGATCTTCATTCACCTCATTCTGCTCATCGTTTACTAGTTTGACAGGTTCATCCGTTTTATTTTGCTTCTTTTCCTCATTGGAAACTATTGTACTATTTTCATTAACTGGTTCGATTATCTGTACACTAAGAATATGTGGTTTAGATTCACTGTTAGATATGTCAGGTTCTTTATTATTTTCAGTAATTATTGTACTATTTCTTGATTCATTAATCTCATTTTGATTTGATATTTTTTGAAGTATTACATCATCACGTTTAACTTCCGCTGAATTCTTTTCAGTAGATACACCGTTTCCAGAAATTAAAGTTGTCTCATCCTTTTTATTCTCCGTTATTGATGGCAAATTATTTAAATCATTAGAAATTTTTGATATTCCAGTAGAATGTTGTGATTTATCGGTGGATTTAGTTTCAAAATTTTGTAATTTTCGTTTTTTCTTGGGTGGTAAAAGAAAATCAAATTTAAATTTTGCTGGTTTTTGTATGGAATCCGATTTTTTTATGGGTGCCGTTATTGAAACGGCAGATGCAGTTGAACTTGATGACTTTGGCACAACTGAAACTTCGTTGCTTAATTTAAAAGGTTGTTCACCGTGTTCGTCTATTATGACTATTTCTTGATCATTAAAATTCTTCTGCAATTCTATTTTATTCAAAGTTTGTTTTCGTTTCTGTTTTTTACGTTGTTGAATAGTCACCTCTGCGTTTAATACTCGACTTTGATGATACAAACTCAACGATTTGTTGATAGCTTTTATAACTTCTGTGCTACTGTCAAAACTTTGCATCATGCTTAAATCAACTTTCGGTGCGTAATCACAAGCATTTAACGAGTCTCTCTTAGCAAAATTTAAGGAATTTTGTAAATTTGCAGGTTCATCATCATCAGATAAGACTATTATAGGTGGTTCCTTATCTTTCGACAAGTTATATTGTTCGTTTTGATGTATCACACTGTGATGATGGCGACGATGTTTTAACTTCTTTTGTTTATATTCTCGTTTCTCATCATGCTTTTGTTGTAATTCTAATGTTACTATTTCTTGTGGCTCAACAATGCAAGATTGTTTAGGCTGTTCTTCTCGTGGAACACTAACTAGTCTAACAGATGTTTCGGCTGGAATCTTATATGATACTGACGGTGGTAATATGTTTATTGCAGACGGTGATAGCGTGGGTGGTGGTGGGAGACTTGACACAGATGCACTGGTTTGTGCTTGATGCTGTTGTAGTAAAATTGGACTTAAATACGAACTTAGTATTTGCATAAGATCTGCATCTTGTAAAAGATTAGGATCTATCATTACATCTCGAAATCTTGTATTCTTTAAACGTTGTATTTGCATCCACAAAGTTTCTTGGTTATATGGCCATTTTAGTGCTTTTAATATCAACTTCAATAGGTCCATATCTTTTATAACACTTCCAAGATTCATTGATTCTTTCACAAAAGCGGGATTGTTTCCATTTGAAGCTAAATGTGCGTGTGCAATAACGTCTTTTGATAATTGCATAGTTTCAACAGGTTGAACATGAGCTGGTGGAGGATCAGGATGCTGTGGATACATGGTTGGTTGTTGTTGCTGCACCTGCCCTGCAGAGTTAACATTATGCGAATTTATTGGAGTAGAAGATGGCACTGGAGGAACTATAACTTTATAGTTAGCACTTGTTTCTGTCGTTGTATTCTTGTGAGGTGTTGAAGATTGGGGTTGTGAATTATTACTATTAAGAACCATTTTCAAATTCTGGCGCTTTTGTTCTAAGCTATTATTAACCTCTCTCATAAATTCTCCTGCATCCTGCATAGGTTTTAATGGTGATATCTCAACTTCTTCATTCAATTTGATGTGACTGCCACTCATAAAATTACTTGAATTACTATTTTGCAACGAATTCTGTAAGCTCTGCTTTTGTTTAGCAACCACAATTTTTTTCTGAATATTTTTAGTTAAAGGATCATTTAAAGTAAAATTAAGGACGACTTCTTCAGTTTTTTTCTCTTGCTCTTTTGCTTTAGCAGTAACACTTAAATCTGGCGTAATGTCAGATTCCACTGGTAGTACCATTGTATTTGAATTACTGCTATAGTTAAGATCATCATCGTCATTAGAAAGCATTGCCAATGAATGAAATTCATTTGGAAAATGTGCTTGATATGACGTTGACTGTGCTTCCTAAAATTTAATATTAACAAAATAGTTAAATAACAAAAAATATAAAAAAAAACTTAAATCATAGATACCTTAAGATTAGCTTGTGCTATTTTTATAAAATCCAATAGAAAATTTTCTGTTTTTTTAGCCAATGCTGCCAGAGCATCAATAGATTCCACCTTTTTGTAACAGATCGAACATATACATTTTGGTAATTCATCATTGCTAGGTATCTAAAATAATGAAATTTATTTAATGATTGTCATTTTATAAAAACATACATATTTATTTGTATTTTGTCAAAATATTTTGAAGTAAATGGCTAAAATTATGTTTCTTGATTTATAAATAAGTTAAAGAAACTGTTTAAAAAAATAAAGGATTTCAATCAAACTTTACATGGAAAATTGTTATGACTAAACACACTTTTAACTCCTAGAATACTACTCAAATACACCATTTAACTCAACATAACCATCTGCTCTCTCTTTTCAGGGACAGGTTCTTTTATTTGAATTCTAAATATTCGTTTGATACCAGTTTTGATAAGTACATATATACAAGAGTCGGTAAATTGTCTTTTATAGTGATTTTTGTCAGCAAGAAGAAAATTGCGCTACAATAACAAATCTAAATGTGTTAAAGCTCAAAATATATTTTAGGCGCGAAAATTTTAAATAGTTGTCATAATATAGAAAAAAAACATTTCTTATTAAATGCAAACTTGAAAATTTCATACACATGTGCACAAATCTATGTAACTATACATTAACTACTTATTCTGTATTATAACGTTATACATAAATATAAAATGTATGTATGTATCTACACCTAAAAATAACAGTATCACGGCTAACCTAATCTTGTCTTTTTGATTTCAAAGTAAAAAGAGCTTTTTCGAATTTGTTTTATTAAATTTAAAAATATTTTGTTCTAAATTTTATTTTTTTGTTTTTCTTACAGATTCCAATGTTTACAAAATTCTAGTACTACTAATGTATTATGTGTATATTTATTATTTCTGCTTTCTTTTTTACTTAAGCATGTATGCAGCATACGTTTTTATATTTTGTTTTGTTTTGTGTTATAATTTCTATACCGATTTTATTAAATATATTTAGATTACTATATAAATTAATCATCGCACACACACTTAATATAAAAAATAGCAACGGTAGTACACTATATACAAACATATTAGAATGAATGAAAAAAACAAAATGTAATACACAATCAAACAAACTTTTTAAACGTATTCAGATGTGGACGTAAATAAAAATAAGTTAATAATAATATCGTAAGTATGTTAACTAATCTCATGAGTATAAATAAACCATAAAAATTTTCACGGTCTCTCTTTTTACCAACACTAACACAGTCAAAGGTTAAAACAAAATTCTAACAAGAAAAAATTATGTATCTGTGCAGTGCCATTGTACTGAAAAAAAATATATGAAATTACTAGTGAAGACTGAACAATGACAACGAGGTAAAAATGACAATACCTACTAACACTTATGCATAATTTTTTTTGTTTCTAATTTTCTAAATATTATTATATCATTTCGAAAATCCCTTCCTATATAACACAGAATAGTAAAAATACCTTGATTGGAGTCTTCAGCATACTCTTCACGTGATTATTTTTATGGCGTTTTTTTTACTTCTTCCTTGACGTAAGAAAAATGAAATATTCTCGTGTGTGCATCCTTATAGAATAACAATTTTGCAAAATTTTGTAATTTAAAAAAAAAACAATTTTAATTGTATACGAGTATAATCAAGTTATGATGAAGCAAAACAAACTAATTTAACGAAAATAGTATAAAAAATTATATTAAGGTCAGAACCATTGGTTAGCAAAAAAGGAAAGCATTTTGATTTCACTATCGTTGAAGAGCTAGGAAATGAAGGCATGGAAAATTTCTATCCAAAAATTGGTATGTATGTGTTTGTGTGTACGTATGAGCACTTTTCTGGAAGGAGTAGAAAAATTAAAAATAATGAGGTTAAAGTACACTAACAGTTGCATTGGGCCAATAAATTGGCAATATAATTTTTTGAAATACTGTTTTTTCCGTCAAAGAATTGTTTATGTCAAATAAAAATTGATTTTACCTTGTTAAAAAATTACAGAGCAATTAGTGAAAGACATCTGAAACAAATATGTAGCCGATCATATTTTAGAAGAGATATTAGAAGGCCCATTTATTTACCAATTTCTTCATTTATAAAATTGCACATATCCCTTTAAATGATTAAACTGTACATATCCCTTTACTATACCTTTGCTCCAAAATAATAAAAACAATCTATTTGAATCACTTTCTTATTACAAATAATTTTGCATATATATAGGAGAAATTTTAGGCTAGAATCATTTTCCAAAAAAAATATTGGTGCATATATTAATAAAAAGTTTTAATTGTAATACAATTATTTTTAAAGAATTGAAGAATTTAATTGTAGGTATTATGTACTTTAAAGAGTAAGAGGGTAGTTAGCGTTAATTTTTGCTTTGGTAGAGATTTTAACCCCATGTGAGAAGTAGGAGACCGAAAATTGATCACCAACAGAGAAATAGTAAAATATTTTTATCAATATTTACAAACTTGAATAATTTCCGTATATAAAATCGTTTTTCATTTGGAATTTTCTGTCCTACTATTAAGCTCGATTATTTAAGTACTCTGCAGCTATTTTTGAAATTGAACTTTAATAACTATATTTTCCGAGTTTGTTTAAATTGAACTATTATGGAACTGCTAAGTTTATATTAAACTTTTTTTGTTTAAAGTTCACAATACTTGTTTTAAAATACTTATTTAAATGCGCTGCTTACTATAGGGTATATTTTGTGTAAAATTAGAACATTTTCTTTCTGCAACTGACCAATTATTTTTTTCTCTAAATTCTATAATTACCAAATTTTCCAGTTACGCAAAAAATTCATATGAATTTTCCATTCTAATAAGAAATGCAAATTGTAAAAAAATTCGAAAATAACAAAAGAGGTTCCTAATTGTATGCAATATAAATTAGTTTTCTTAAATGCGAAATGTCCTTACTAAAAATAAAGATCCTTATGCTAAAAGCAATTTGCTTTTGATAGGTTGTCCTGACAAATGAATTCATATTTTGAGAGATCATATAGCCCAAGAGGGTTTTGTCTTATCCTCCATCTTTAGCTAAAGCTTCCTTTATTATTAATTTATTTTAATTTACACTTCTATTTTACATCAATTTTATTATAATTTTGTTTTACTCTCTATATTTCTAATTTATGTCATCAACTTATTGTGTTATGTATTAATTTCCATTCTGTTATCTATTCTATTTTATTAATTGTATTTAATTGTATTTTTAAATGTACAAGCTATAATTATCTAAATTTTAGATCAAAAACTTAGTCAAAAATTCGTTTGACTTCAAGTTTTAATGATAAAACAAAGTGACATATTTTCGAAAAGTAGAGTAAAACATGTTAAAATTAAATTTTTCTTATAATACAAAATTACCTCCTCCTAACGCAAGCGGACTAGAAAATTATAACGCATTAATTACAGAGAAAGTCGCAAATATCGTAAAAATTAAGAATATTCTCCAATGGTTATGCATAAGAAAGTCAACAGTGTTTTCCTATAGAACACCTAATACAGCATATTGTATATGTATATCAGGTATATACAAAAAAAAAAATAACTGACAGCAAGGAACGTAAGAAAATCGTTTGTTTATTTATTTACTTTCTGGTTTTTTTTTCTTGTACAGATCCAATTTCAGAGATTCGGAGATGAATTAAAAAATTACGATGATGATGATGATGCTATGCTCATTTTCTTACACATGAATATTCGTTTGTGTATGTAAAAATTGAAATCTTTCTATAAGATATTACTCTCTCAATGTTTAATGCACACATTACAATTTATACAAAAGAGTTCTCTCTCAATCATTTTACATACACTTATGTACTTATAATGTTTATATTATCATCCATGTATTCTACAAAGGTCGAAAGAAAAAAGCAAAATAAAATTTAACAATGAAAATAAAATAAGAAAAACAAAAATTATGCTAATGTGTGTGTTCATGTGTTACACATGTGTATGTGTAGAATAATGTGAATAAGAAAAATTTTGTTTTTGTATTTTATTTTAAGAAAAAAAATTTTTTGTTAAATAATACGAGCAGAAAAATGAAAATAATAAAATAAAATATTTGAATAGAAGATGTAAAACGACAGTAAAAATAATAATAAAATCAAAATTAAATAGCAATGTGTGTATGTTTACAGATGTAAATAAAAAAGTCTTAAAAATTGAAAGCATGCAAAAAAATAATAAGAAAAAAATTTACAAAAATAAAATATTGAGAAAAAATGCATCTTAAATTTTTTTTTGTTTTCTTTCTTTTTTTTGGTTTCGTATATTTTACTTGCACGAATTTCATGCTGAGCACCATAATAATGTGTGTTTGAATTTGCTATTATAGTAATAATAAAAATAACAATCTGCATACATCCATATGTATGTCTCTATAAAATTAGCAATACTAAAATATCGCACATATTCGAATCTCGTTACCACACGCACACAATTATATATTTAAATTTATAAATGTATGTATATATGTATTTACAAACATATTTATGAACTGCTATATGAATATTTGATATCTAGAGAATAAAAACAACATTGCGCTGTAATTATATGTACATACATATTTTTAGCTGTTAACATGCTACATAAACACATACTTATTCCTTTTTTACGTTATTATTAAATTAAAGAGTAATGAAATTTTTAATAATTTTAATAAGATTTTCATTAATTTTTTCTCTGTTACATTTATTCAATTATTTTGCTTTGAAACTCTCTTCCTATTGTTATTATTGTGTTTGCCTTTTATATTGATGGTTCTCGAAAAATTGAGGTAAAAATACGTAAATACTTATTACAACGTATTATGTATGTATGTTTGTATGTATAAATAATACATGTGTATGCCTACTTATTATTATTTAACATTGTTGCTTTTTAATTTTAAATTTTTTGTTTTTTCTTATAAAACATTTTAAAATTTCTTTTCCCTTATTTTACTTTTTATTTTTATAGGTATTATTTTGCACATCATACATACAATCACATATACCAATATAAATGTTATAAATATACCATACATTCGTGCATAAATATGTAAAGTGTTTTACTAAAAAAGTATGTAATCTCAACTCAACACAAAAGTGAATTTCTGTTATGCACTTTTTTATGACTCTTTTTGTTGTTAGTGCTGCATCATAGGCATAATAATATTAACACTAACTGAATAGTTTTTTGTGCTTTAATGCAAAAATTTAATAAAAAAAAAAAAAATACAGAATATATACGAAAAAATGGCAAGAATACCTACATGAATATACATACATATGTACATACATACATAATGATAATAAGGAAAAATGTTAAAAAGTAAAATTAATGACAGTTTTTTTTTCTTATTTATCATACAAAGATTTGTTTTTAGGTACCTGTGCTTACCCACGAAGAAGATAAAAATTTTTAGAAGATGAGTTTTTAAATAAAAAAAAAATTTTGGTCATTAAAATGATATTTTTATATTTACAATTTTATTAATAAAAACAAAAGGTCCTAGGCACATACATACATACATATGTACATAATTTGGGAGAACTAGTGGTTATATTGGCTTTCATATAATCAGTAAACAAAATAATTTCTAATAATTCTGATTAATAATTAAAAATACTTAAAATCTTACTAACATTTACTTGAAAATTTTTCTAGAAAAAAAAACATTTCTATTATTACAAGACACCAAAAAAAAAAAAATTAATCAAAGTTCTATTATCATTGTAATTTCTTTCTATGCATAACATGCATGCAATATGTACATTCATATACACATATAATATTGGTATAAACTATAAAGTAAAACCGTAAAACTAAAAATTATTATTTATAAATCAAAATAAATAAATTAGGTATAATATAAAAATGTGTATAATCAATAAAAACAAAAAAATATATATATACATATGTGCACATACATACATACTTATATGTATAATACATATATGTATAATACCTATATATATACAAGTATTTTAAGTTTTTAACGCATTATTAACAAATTTTCCTTTTTCTTAATAGTAGGTATTAATATTATTATTATTAATTTAAACAAAACAAAATTAATGAAAAAATTATTTGTTTTCATTATTTTTTAAATACAATTTATTTATTTATTTATTTATTTATTTATAAATATTATATACTTACATCTATATTTAAATATTTTTTTAATTTATCCCTCAATTGCGGAGTATCAAATATACTCACTGCTGAATTTTGACTTCGCCTCTTTTTAATATTGACAGCACAAATTCTGCACATATGCCTTAAATTCTTTATCAAATCCATTGTTTTCTATATTAATATATATATATATATATATATATATATTTCTGTATAATATAATATAATTTTTATATTTATATAAATAAATATTTATGCTTATGTATGTATGTTTGTATATATATATATACAAAAATTTTCTTTCTATATTTTTTTTTTGTTTTTATTTTTGTAATTTTTTTTTTCTTTTTCTCTCTCTTTTTTTATACCGTTTATATTATGTATTTATTTAGTTTTATCATTAAATTAATATTAAAAATATTAAATAATTTTTCTTTTATCATATTTATTATATTAATGATAACTACATTATTAGAAATTCTAACTAAATGAAACTATTTTTTAATAAATTTTTATTTTTCTTTTATTAAAAATTTAATATATTTATGTATATATAAAAAAAAAATTAATTATTTTTTTTTTTTATTTTTTTTTCTTAATTTTTCGGGAACAATTACTAAAAATTTTTTTACAACCTCTAAAATTCGAGTTTTGCTGCACACTGAAAAATATATAAAAATTTGTAAAATAAAAATAATAACCAACACATTCTCATAATATTATATTTTATGCTGCCATATAAGAATGTGTGTATATGGAATATGTATGTGTATATTAAAGCATCAAATGTGTGTATATTTTTATTTCTATTTTTATTTTAATATTGTTTTGGTTTATTTTTTTTTGCTTTCTTTCACCGTTTATTTCGTGTTTCTCTAGTTCTTTTTTTCTCTCTTTCACACCAAAATAAAGTTAAAAATTTTTTTTTTTTGTTTTTTCTTTGCAATTGTAGTTGTTTTTTGTTATTATTTTCTCTATAAAAATTTATTTTACGTTATTATAAAATGTTTTTCTTTTCTTGGTTTTTTTGTTAATTCACATAAATACATTCACACACTTACAGAAATATGCGTATGTACATTAACCTTATATTATTATTTTTTCAAATATAAATTTATATACATACGTATATACATATTTATTAAATGTGTTTCTATAAATAATATGCGGCGCGCAATGTGTATGCCTAAAAAATGACATAGCTACTCATGTTTTATTATTTCTTAATATTAATATTTATACATTCATAAATATATATACATACACATATATATATTTAGAAATAAACATAAATACATACTGACATTAAAAACTAGTATCTAAACATTGGCAATATCAAAACATTAAGCACAAAGAGGTTAACTGAAAAAAAATAATAATACAAAAAACAAACAAAAATAAAAAATATAAGAATACAAAAAAGACAATAAAAATATTATTGAAAAATTAGAAATTGCATATTTAAATGTGTGCGTGAAATTCTCACATGGGTTCTGTAATATAATAAATATCACACAAAGTAAATATTATTTTCTTAATATTATACAATATTATATTCAATTATTCAGAAATAAAATAGAAAAAATAAAAAGAAGAAAACAATAATTTTTGTATAACAAAAAAAGTTGAAAACGCCACTGACTTGAAATATAAAGTAAATATTATTATAATAAAATGCTATTGTTATTTAATATCATAAACGTAATTTTATTATTTATAAACAGTTAACCTATACATGAACACATATACTTTACAATATTACAAAGCTCGAGCATTTTTACTCTCTTACTAGATGGCTTGCTTGTGTTTGTGTTTTTTGTATAAAAATATCAAAAGAGACTTGATTTAAAATGTACTTACTTATTTTTTATAAATATTAAAGTATAAAATTGGTAAAGTAAATATTAAAGTATTGAATATTAATAATTTATTAAAAATTACTTCGTAGAATGCAATTAACGCTTCTAACATTGAGATAAGTGTACATTTCATAAAATATTTTTATTAAATTTCTATGTTCTCTGATTGTCCCAAGTATCAACCTGTAAATATGTAGTAATATATATATATACCTACATAATACATAATAAATATACATACATATGTATGTGAGTATATTGTAGATAATATAACGTATGTAACTACATAAATTAATATATATGATATCATTGGGTACATATGTGCATAAACATATACAAAGAATAAATACATTTATATAAATGTGAGAATTCATAAGTTTGCATATGCCTACAGTGTTGTAAGTATAATATAACAAAAAAAAAACTAAAAAAAAGAACAAAATGCTCAACATTGAAATTTCAATGACTCACATTATTTTTATTATTTTATTTTATAATTAATAAAGTAATAAATAAAAACAATTGTTTATTTTAGTGTTTTTTCTATTTTTTTATGCTTTTCTTTTATTATTATTTTATTATACGAGCATAAAGCACTATCAAAGCATTTAAACTCAATTAATGGTCAAAAATAGTACTAAAGCATGCATGTATGTTTGTAGATTAACTGGAACATATTTATACATAATAATTTATACAAATAAATTAAATTAGAACTTATTATATTGGCACGAAACATAAAAATATAAGTATGTATATACATATGTATACAATCATACAAATTCATATTACAATATGACCTTAACTATGCGTTTACTTTATATTTCTTATATGCATACATATACCCACATACATTATATAATTATATACATATACATACATATATATCCATGTATACTTATGCTTTGAATAAGGTATCTATATATACAAATGTATATATAATCCGGCGCGGAAAATTTTATCCCGGCATATTTTTTTATTGCAATTTCTTATAATATACACACTCTAAAAACTTTTGTTTTTTTGTTACTGTTATTAAAACTTTGTAAAGTAGGAAGTAGCAAATTAAATAGGTTAAGTTTATATATCAAACTAACAATCTCTTATTATCATTTGTACGAATACAGATGTATGTATAAGCCAACATACACACATAATTGTGTTTATTTTTCATCATAAAATTGTGCATATGTTAAGTTATAGAGATTAATATTAAAAACTTTTCATTACCAGTTGTAAAATTTATAATATTTATAATATTAACCAAAATTTATAATTCCATATAGTATTTCGGAAAAGGAGGTTCCGACAGATTGAAGATTTCGTTGCAGTTATTTCAAAATTTAATCTAATACTGATAAATCTTGAGAAGTTAAGAGCTACTCAATCTTAATTACATTAATTTGAAATTGCTTCAAATACCTATAATATTTAATGGTTATTCTTAAAATTTTATTCTCATATTTATTATTTTGTTTTAATGTGCATACATAGGTACCTATTAATACTTTCAATCTCAAAATAATTTTGCTAATTTTACTTTTTGTAATAGATTATTTACACCTTGTCATTCCATTATGCAAATGTCCTTTAAACATTTATTTTAAATTCCATATAACAAAGATAAAATCCTTATAGTTAAAATAAGTACCTAGAAAAATACAAATTTCATTCTTTGGGAAGGTTTACTTTCGGGAATCCGATGTCTCTGAAAATTCATGAATCAAATTCGTGCGCAAAGAGAGCTTAGATATTAAATTTTAAGGGAACTGGTTAATTATTTCTCTATTAAATGGGTAAAAAAATGAATTTTTCAAGTTGCTAGTGAAATTCATAAAATTCAGATAAAACTTCAGAAAACTAATTCAATATTTTCTTAAAATTGAGAAAAATCTAAATTCGGTTCGAAATAACGTGATTTTCCAGAGATCTAAAATGATTTTCGGCACCCCATAAACTCGGATACAAATTTTGATCAAAAAATAGAATACATACACTGACCGACAGAAAAATTGACATTCTTCTCAATATTAGTTTATTTACGTTTTTCTATCACGAATAGATGCATTTTCTTTGAAAAATCGACATGTGAAATTTGGTGTCATAAAATTAACTCTCCTATTATATACAGAGAGCGATCAATAACAAATAATAAATAAAAGTTGAAATCAATGACAATTAAAATATTGAAAAATTATATATGAGAAAATTTCCTGAAAATGGGAAAACAACAAATTAACACATTAAAAATAAAAAAAACTTCCTTAAAGTCAAACATGCACACATACATACAACATACATATCTGTTAATCTTTACATGCAATAATCTTCTTGTTTAGGTGCTAATCATATTATAATGGAGCAAAATGTTACCATATTATCATTATTATTATTATATATTTAATTTTGCCCTTAAACATTATTATATATGGTAGTAAAAGATTTTAATAATGTGAAAAGAGAAAAACAAAAAGTATTATTAATAGAAAAGAAAATTTTCTTTTAAACAAAAATTCAACACTATGTGAAATTCAAATATAGGAGAAAAATTTTATATGAAAATACATTTACAAACATACATACATAAATAAAAATGCTCATATGAAAAAATGGAAAAACGAAACAAAGAAAAAAAAGGAATTGCGAAAGTTAAAATATATTTAATTTAATTTACAAACATACATACATATATACATGCAAACATTCGCATATTCGTGATATATAAAAGTGCACGTTTGTACATTTGTTTATGTATTTTCATAAATTATAATTCTATATTATTATTATTTATAGATTTAGTACTTTGTACACATTATTTTACATTGTATTATATACATATATATACATGTTAATGTATGTATGTATGTATAAATAAAACGAGATTTTATGCTGCTTTTATTATATCATTATTTTAATAAAACTTAAACACACACATCCACACATATTTGCTTATAAAATACATTTGTATAAAATTTATATAAATATGTGTTTATGTAATATATATTGGTATATAATATATAATAAAGAGTGTATAAGTAATTGTCATTGTGGTTGCATGAAATCAGGTTGGGAAAAAAAAAAAACAAAATAAATTTGGTTATTTTTTTTTGTTTTTTTTTTTTGTTTTTATTTTTGTGTGAATTGAGTTAAAATTGTATTGGTTTGTGTTAATTTTATAGGTTTTTTTTTTCTTTGTATATTTTTTATTTTCTTGATAATTTTGTTTGTATTTTAAGGCTTTTATTTGTTTTTATTTTCTGTTTTTGTTTTGTGTCAATTGTACTAAAAAAATTATGGTCTTATGCTTATTTTTCTGCTGTTCTGTTTTCCGTTTTTTGCGTTTTAATAATTTTTTTATAGTTTTCTTTTACTGCTTTTGTTTTTATTTATAAAAGCAGTTTAGCAATATAGTTTGTGTTATTATTTAAGTTATTTTACAGAGATTTTTTTTCTTATTTTGTTTTTTATTATTGCTAGTTTAGTAATTAATTTTTGTTATAATTAAATGCAATTATGCACT